TATCGATTATAATTGTAATTTTTTGCATATTTGCTGGTGCACTGGCGTTTCGAACGGTGTATACACAATTGAGAGAGTTGTTTTTGGTCGATACATGTATCGTGAAACGCGATATTATGTTGTGAAATTCAATTAAATAATTCGAATAATGCTCGCGTTACCCGGGACGTGTTCAAATCGGCGTCGAGATGAAGAAATTCGGCGCTCGAATTTCGAACGGACGGGACGCCGTCGTTTCGGGACGTGTCGCGATCGAAAAAAAAAAATAATAAAAAAATAAGTCGAAGACAGTGGAGAATTTGAAAGCGATCATTTGTCAGGTCGAATCGGAGTCACGAGTGCTCGACGAGACACATGGGAACACAGCGGGATCGACGCGCCCCCCTCGGCGATGCTCTCAATTTGTATTTAGTCCTTAATAAGTTTGAATATTTTACAATAAACGTCGCAAATTCGATTGAACTCGGTTTGTCGACCAATTAAGGAACACATTGTTGCCATAACTAATACTTTTTTAAGGCTTTAAAAAAGCAGCAATTTTATCCTCTAAGTAGTATTACCAATTTCTCATTCTCTTAATTCTTTTTCGTACTGGTTTTTCTTGATTTCTTTTTCATTTTTTCATTCGGCATAAATATTCGTCGACGATTATTATAAACGAACGCAGAATCGAGTCCGGCCGGTCAATTATGTACACGTACGTATAAATATATTTTTTTTTCCGTTATTGCGATCAGAATTTCCGAAGTTAATAGACATGATTATAGGGTAGCGATCGGGACGGTAATGCCTGGAAAAAAAATTCGCTACTCGCACGCAATTTACGGTGCAGTAGCGAAATGTGCGTCACGAGAATTTTTCATTCGACAACCATCCGAAAATCGACCAATTAAAATCGTTATTATACACATAAAAACTCGAAATTATTGTTTTATATAATTTAGCGAAATTTAACACTTTAACGGCAACACTGTATTCTTCTAACACTAATACGCATTAGGGATTTTTCATAATATTTACCACTACTACCAACAAACTCATTCAATAAATCATAGGTGACGTGCATTGACATTTATATCTATTCAATTGATAGCCACAGATAAACAGAAATTTTAATTTTCTCACTTAGTTAAGGTTTCAGAAATTGTTGAGTAATAATTACTTAACTTTTGTTAAGGTAGACTGGGGCAAATGTAAAAATGGGGTAAATATAATATTTGTTTGTATAATGTTTGTTTCTTATTTTTTCTTTATTATTTTGTAGCTCTGTTATTTTTTGAAATAAATAAATAAACAGCATATCAAATTTTAGAGGAACCAAATATTTTTTTACAATTGCCCCATATGTTTTTCTATATAATTGTATTGCACTTTAGAACCCATGGTACGGGGTAAATGTAACATATTGTCAACATTTTAAAAAATATGTAAAATCATTTTCTTCCTTTTTCATAAAAATTTTTTAATACCTCGATTCTTTAGTTTAGGAAGTTGTGAATTTAATGTGGTATCAGCATTTCTAATAAGAGAAAAAATAAAGCCACATTTTAGGATTTAATTTGAACTATTCAAATTTTACAACCGATTTGCCCCAGTCTACCTTACTCAAAACATGCAAAAAATACACCTTTTTTTCTCAATGTAATCACTAATAATTTAGGTCTACACTAGAAAAAAACAGTTACTCAAACTTTTAGAAGAAAAACTTTGTATGTACAAGCAAACGTTATTCGGGAGCGGGTCAAGGAATCTGGTTGGCGTTGTCGAATCGAAAAATTCTAACTAGCCTTTCTTTTTTTTTTTAACTTTGAGTAAATACACTTAGGACCTGTTATTCATTCACCGGCTACACTTGAACGGATCCTTTTCGGTCCCAAACACCGAGCAAGGGTGGTCTCGTCTATTTTCCTTCGGCATCCACAACCTACTTAAACGCAAAAGTCGAAACGTGCTCGGTTTTATAAATCAACCACCATTTATTTTTTATATCTTGCACTACCATTATACTTCAAAAATGAGATGTACTGAATACACTATAGTTTTATACTAATTTGTGCAAGTGGCAACACTGTAAAACTTTTCAAACTTCACATTGGGGATTTTACCAGTGTTGCCAACAAACTCCCTAGATTTCCAAGGCCGACTCGAGCGCGCTATTAGTACTTGACTGTTTAAAGTCGTATTAAAAAAAATTTATAGGGGAATTAATAAGGCTGCTTATTTTTTTAAACGATAAAGTCGCCATATTTCTGTCATCTGCGCTCCTCGAACTATATACCTGGCGTTTAAGCGTTTGTGATGGATTTATTTTTAGTTTGTCACGTGCTGCGTTAGGGCAGGTCGGAAGTGACGTCACGCGCTCTGCCCACGCATCAAAACAAAACATCATCAGGGAAAAAAATATATGATCGTTTTCGAAAAAGCCATACATACTTGATGAGAAAATCGACCCTTTTTTTTTTGATTCGACGAGATTTTCGTTATAGATTTCGAAAAAGGGCGCGTTCGGGTTAAACCCTATATACGAAAAATCTAGTAGGTGTATTATTCGAAATTTTACACCGGCGACAAGAAACGAAGAGAGACACATATAGCGCGAAAGAGCGACGGGGATATAGAAGACATCAAAAGATCTATCTAAAATTAAAACTCGACTTTGTTGGATTAATTTCTCGGAATTACTCTTAATTAAATTCAACATCCGCTCGTCGAAACGAAATTCGCATGGACGTGCCCCCTCGAATTTAATTATTTCCTATCGCAATAACGCAAAGTTGGCAGCATTGTTAAACAAACCAATAATACCAACTGCTTCTCGAATTGACAGTACAGTCGGTGCAAAACAATTCTTCTGATGCAAACTTGATAAAAATGCAGAAAAAGTTGGCAGCATTGTTAAACAAACCAATAATACCAACTGCTTCTCGAATTGACTGTACAGTTGGTGCAAAACAATTCTTCTGATGCAAACTTGATAAAAATGCAGAAAAAGTTGGTAGCATTGTTAAACAAACCAATTAACCAACTACTTCTCGAATTGACTGTACAGTTGGTGCAAAACAATTCTTCTGATGCAAACTTGATAAAAATGCAGAAAATGATGAATGCGTTTTTTACGCTTATGCATAAAACTTTCCTAAATTTGCATATTTTCAGCATATCGAAAAATTTTTCGCACATAATCGCGATCTGTATTCAACAATTCCTACAATCGACTAATTTGTAGCGGAATAACGAACGATTATTTTCCCCATACAACAAAAACACCATCATTAACTTGTTGACGGTGAATTAACATCTCTAATAGATAAAGGCGCGTTTAAAAAGATACAAAAAAAAAACACGAAATCGCCACCGTTTTACATTATTACAGTCGTTTACGTCCGAGATAAGCCGGTATACGGTTATTTTTTTTCTACCTGACTTTTTCCACTTCTCTTTTATATCTCTGTCGGGGCATTAAAATCGAACGTTACCTTTTGCCCGTCGTAAATTTACGCGCTTCGATAACCGGCAATTAATGCCCGATAAATGCTCCGGGCTTTTTCTCCAAAATAGACAATGGTCTATCGGTATCGAATAAAAATTCCTGGTGGTCATTAAAGACCGATTTTGACACCACAGAAAAGGTACTTACCGATGTCTGAGTGCGTTTAATCGGAATGCCGAATATTCGGGTAAACTGGCACACAGATAAACGAATTCCTATCAATCTCCTATTAGTAATTTTTATGGGAATTATCGAGGCACGAAAGTCCACTCGATAATAAATTACCGCGTGGCCTTTTCAATATATCGTCTCGCAGCCACTATTCAAATAAAAGGAAATATATACAAAGTAGGTATCGGGGTTTGGCGCCTGGATTTGCGTCCAGTGGCGTGCCGACGAATTTCCTGCGAATTTTTCGATCGACCCTCGTAGGAATGCTTTGAGTTGTTATCGAACGAGGTCGGGAATACAAAATGCCGGTCGTTCGAGTGTTTAGATAAAAATTCTCAGAAGTAAGGTGGATAGTAGTTTCGAGTAATTGCGATTAGAAATTTTTTCAATTGAAAACAAAATCGCCTTTCGAGGAACTGGATATTTCGTATACAAATTGAATAGTTGTTTCTACTGAAAAAGGGTAGGATACATTATGTAAATTTCTAGTATCATTATTATTATATTAAAATTGAATTAATGATAATTACAGTTGTAATCAAGAGCAGCGGGATTTTATTATACTTTGATATTATTTGCCTATTTCCAAGCAAAAATGTATGGAATTGTTGATAAACTAGTCATACTTAAGAAATGGATAAGAATTTCTTGATATCAAATGACTGGTATTAATTATCTGTCTCTTGGCTTCGATTACTTGCGTAATCTGATAATAAGAAGTTCTATGGGTTGTTGGTTTAATATAAGAAATTTCCACCCCTCTTTTAATCTGCCTGTATAAGGGTGAAAGCGTTACGTTACAATTTAATTTGTCTCCAACTAAACGGCGATATTTTTCTTATATTAAATTATTCAACCGGAAACCAAAATGTACTCCGGGGCGTTAGAACGCGCTTATCTCGTCCAATAATTATATTAATATGCCGACATAATTGCGGAAAAAAATACCCATAATGCAATTTGATAAAATTGGATTACACATTACGAACGAATCGCTCCGTATAAGATTTCTTACGGTTATCGATTTAATTCGAATCCCTACGAATACCTATTTAAAACTCCGCAAAACCGACGATGTGATTTAACTGAAAAGAATACTAAAAATCACGTTCCCTATAACACCATTTAAGTTGGCAAAACTGTACAAAACTGTCACAATCGAAACGACCTACATTTGACACCTGTCAGTTGTCACAAACCCGGTCGTACCAACACTGCACAACTGTCACAATTGAAACGACCTACATTTGACACCTGTCAGTTGTCACAAACCCAGTCGTACCAAAATATTACCGACCAAAAAATTAACTTTTCGCTTTTTTTTTCGGCGCGATTGCAGTCGCACAACGACGAGGAGATGAGCGACGGCGACGGCGACGGCGGCCACTCCGGCGAACACGACGACCTCGACGGCTGCGACGACATGAGGCGGCACGGCGGCCTCCTCGCCGAGCACGGCGACGTCCTGGCCAAGCTCAAGATGCAAGTGCGAGACATCAAGGTAGGGGTAAGGATAATGTTAAGCTGGTAAAAAGTCGACGGGGATGGCGCCCACCGGGTGGCTTGGAAGGCTCGATTTTTCGAGCACCGGGCGGGTTTGTTTCTTTGCTCCACGGTAGGAGTAAAGAGAGCGATAAAAAAGAGTACAAGTCGACGGGGAAGATGCCCACCAGGTGCTTGGAATTCCCGATTTCGAGCATCAGGCGGGTTGATTTTATAAGCCACAGTAAAAAAAGCTAGAAAAGAGTACAAGTCGACGGAGAAGATGCCCACCAGGTGCTTGGATTTCGCGTTTTCGAGCACCAGGTGGAAGAGATTTCTCTTTTTCGATCACCAAGTGAGTTTTTGTGTTTACATCAAGGTAGGGATAAGGGGAAGAACCCCACCAGGTGCTTGGATTTTTCGTTTTCGACCACCAAGTGGTTTGTTTTATTACATTTAAAGGTAGATGTTAAGAAAATTGTCCTATAAAAGAGTAATACTCCACGGTAGAAGCTATCAACTGGTGACACCAGGTGCCCAACTTTCCTGTTTTCGAGCATACACCAGGTGGTTTAGTTTTCTCGTTTCCAACAATTTCTTCACTATCAGTAGAAGCATTATAGCATAGAGTAATATAAAACTTTCTTTGCTCCACAGTAGGAGTAAAGAGAGTCCGCTAAAAAAGAGTACAAGTCGACGGGAAAGATGCCCACCAGGTACTTGGATTTTTCGTTTTTCGACCACCAAGTGGTTTGTTTTATTACATCAAGGTAGATGTTAAGAAAATTGTCCTATAAAAGAGTAATACTCCACGGAGAAGCTGTCAACTGGTGTCACCAGGTGCCCAGCTTACCTCTTTTCGACCACCAGATGGTATAATTCTCTCGTTTCGAACAACAATTTCTTCACTATCAGTAGAAGCGATAGAGTAAAACATTGTGGAATTTCCACAGGACGATTACGAAGGCGGCGGGCGGCCGTTGAACATCAACTTCCCGGGTCGCATGATGCCAGCCAGCAACGGGAACGGCCCCGACGGTTTCCAGCTGCCGATGCCGTTCCCGTTTTCGCATCCGGCGGCGGCGTTTCTGCCGCCGATGGCGCCGCAACCGGCCGATCCGTCCAGCGGCAGTTCGCACTCGTCCGAGGGCAGCGCCTCCTCCCAACACACCTGGTCCTTCGAGGAGCAATTCAAACAGGTGCGTCAGGTATGTTCGTCTTTTTTTTGTTCGATTTTACATGTTTTTAGACCACCTCCACCGGAGGAGTTTAAATGGTTATTTGATTTGTACAAAAAAAAAGGTAATAATCCACCGGACTATGATTGAGTGGTATAAAATGATGATATTAATCCATTGGACTATAGTTGAGTGATAAAAAAGTGGAATTTTGGAGGTTTAATGAATCAAATTTGGACTAAACTTGACTCATGGTACAACAAAAAATTATAATCCACAGTACTATATTAGGGTGGTAAAATTTTTGATATTAATCCACTGGACTAAAGTTGAGTGATAAAAAAGTGGAATTTTGGAGGTTTATTTAGTCAAATTTGGAAATCCATTGGACTATATTTAATTGTGTGGTAATAATGTGGAATTTTGGAGGTTTTAATTAAACAACTTTGGACTATATTTGACTCATGGTACAATAAAGAATTATAATCCACAGGACTATAATAGAGTGGTAAAAATGTCGATATTAATCCATTGGACTATAATTGAGTGGTAAAATTCAAAACTTAAATGCATCACAATATGATTGTATTCAAGTGGAATTTTGAAGGTTTTTTTTTTTAATCAAATTAGAGCTATATTAGCTATATTAGCTAACAATCCACCGGACTATAATCGATCGGTAATAATCTTAAATATGTCCTATAATCGAGCATCTTTTTCTTCCACCTTAAAACGAATCAATCGAGTAGTAATAGGTTTTTCCCGGTATAGGAAAACTCCGGCCGATTGGAGGCGATTATTTTCCAATCGCATTTCGTCGGGGCCCGGTTTTTTTTTTCGGGGAAAAAGGAAAATCATCGCGTCCGCACAAAACCACTTCATTAGATCAGTTGATTGAGTCATTTTGTGCGCCGTTTTCCCCCTCGGCATTTGTGCAAACGGACACACGGAAGGATAGATTAATTCCATGTGTTCGGTTCGATTGCGGCCTCGAATTCTCCTCTGATGTCCTTCGCGCAATTAAAAGGGGATTATAATGGAAAATTTGGATTTATGGATTTGTTCCGTTTGCGCCCCGACGAGACGCCCTAATATGAGTAATTTGTTCGCGTTAAACGATTCCCTTTCTATATACTTTTGTGTGTTTTTTTGTATAATTCTTTCTCCTTTTGATATATCTCTTATTGGGTTTATTATTTAGGTAAAGATTCACGGGATAATTAGAGTAATTGCGTTATTAGGAAAATAATTGAATCCAGGGTTTGGGACATTTAATTGGGATATTTCGACATTCGAATTTGAGGTAGCGCTCTAATTTTAACCTCTCACCCTTGTCTAGGTTTTTCATCTATTTCTGGATAGAGGTGGAAGCTAAAATATCTCGAAACAAAATCAACACAACAAAAGAGATTTGTATGTAAATACCTACAGTAACCTTATATTTAATCTACTAAACAAACTATAATTTATGTGATTAAAAAAAAAGGTATAGTAGAAATCGTTTTACCTGTCCCGTTACGTCATCAGTCACGTGTCGTCGCGTCCATCTCTATATACGAAAATTATGAGATCCGAGACAGCTGCGTTACACATTTTACCCGGGCCCGAGGCATGATTAAGAGGCCGTGTGCGGTTCGAATTAGTCGAGGACCGCTCGATTATTTTGTTTAATTCATTAATTTACCCCGGCAACGTCGCAAACGCGCCACGATTTGGCAATTTCCGCCTTATACTTTTTTAATTTTTTTTTTCTAGTCCACGTGCATCGCGAGATGCAGCTAACATATTTGATACATCCCGATTTTAATTGGTTTTTTTACTTTGTATCGTAGAAAATTCGATTTTGAGTAGTGTATGGCCACTCTAAAGTTTTATCACAAATAAGTTCACAAATATTGAGAATAATTTAAAAGTTGCAGGTTTTTGATCGCCAAATTTAGTGTGAGTTGTAGAGGTAGGGGCAAAAAATCCACTCAGATATGAGAGAAAACATTTAATTTCGCATATTTAAAAATTTGGCGATCAAAAAGTCTGTAACTTTTAAAATAATCTTCACTTTGTGAAATAATCTTAACTTTTGTGGAGCAGTTTAGTTTGATAATTGACGCTCTCAAATTTTTCAATAGTGTATGTACACTTGAATTTTAATTGTACTGTAGTAGGTGGACATTTAAAATTAAAATATAGTCTATAGACACACTAAATTTCTACTGCAGTCCATGGACACTTTAAATTTTTAAATTTACTAAAGTGTGTGAACATACAAAATTTTTAAATGTGTAGTCTATGGACTATAAATTTAACGATATTGTGTGGACACTCAAAATTTAACTCTTTGTCTATAAATACTCTAAATTTCTACTGCAGTCCATGAACACTCTAAATTTTTAAATTTATTAAAGTGTGTGAACATACAAAATTTTTAAATGTATAGTCTATGGACTATAATTATAATGATACTATCTGGACACTTAAAATTTAACTATTTATCTATATACACACTAAATTTCTAGTGCAACCTAGAAAAACTCTAAAATTTTTAATTCTACTGATGTGCCACTCAAAATTTTTGTTATAGTCTTTGGTCACTCAAAATTTTCTAATTTTGCTATAGTGTATGGTCACTCGAATTAGTTGACGTGTCAATTAGCGCTGCAATTACGGGGGCTATATTGTTTATTGTGAACATCGATCGAAACGATTTAATGATTTAATTCGTCCGAAATGGAAATGTCCCAACTGGTGAACACATGCCAAACACATCCCGAATATCAGCCGGATGTTGCGTTACGAGCGAACGTGTTCGGGCCCGCGGGAGCCCGTCGATTTTTGATGGATCGCATAATTAGACCGACGTGAATTAGTATATTAGAAACGTTTCGCACGCACCTCGTATACCGTCGCAACGTAGAGATGGGAAAGCGTCGTGAAAAATCACAGTTATTTTCGATGGAACGGTGTATACATAGAGGGTGTTAATTTATTTGTATGCCGATACTTCAGGATGTGAATGTTTGGATGATTTTATGAAGAAAAGTTTATATCAATGTGTGTCCTAAATCTCTTAGTTTTCGAGTTACAGGGTGTTAAAGTTTTAGAAAAAATAACTTTTCTGTCATAATTTTCTTATTACGACAGATATTTTTATGACATTTCGGACGTGGGCGTCACTGATAATAGTAGAAAATTAATTTTTATCCCCCAAAAAAAGTGTTTTCATGCATGGTGGGCGCCTATCAAATTTCAATAAAATATCAAAAGCGTCTCAAAATGAACTTGGGAAAAAATGGTTTTGGTTTTAATTTTTTTACGGGAAAATGGTGCGTCGTAAGAAAATAAGTTTCTGATCGAATTTGCTACAAAATAAATGAGGATTTAAAAAATAATTTTAGTTTTTAGAAAAAGCAGTGGTGTACCATTTTTTTTTTCAAACATATTCAGTTCAAACCCCGTACGGACGTCACTGGTGAATATTTAAAAAAATCTTACGTCTCAAAAAATGCTCCTTAATAAATAAAAAGTGTATACAAAATTTCTTAAAAATAGCTGGAGTAATAAGAAAATTATGATAGAAAAGTTATTTTTTTTCTAAAATTTTAGCACCATGTAGCTCGAAAACTAAGAGGTTTAGGACATAAATTGATATAAACTTTTCTTCTTAAAATCAATCAATTATTCACATCCTGAGGTATCGGCATTCCTTTAATTAACACCCTATACATATAAACTGCTCCACAAAAGTTAAGGAAGTTCGCAAATTTTGCGATTATTTTTAAAATTTTTGATCACCAAATTTTTAAATATGCGAAATTAAATGTTTTCACTCATATCTGAGTGGATTTTTTGTATTTACCTCTACAACTCATTACTAAATTTGGCGATCAAATAACCTGCAACTTTTAAATTAATCTCAATATTAGTGAACTTCCTTAACTTTTGTGGAGCAGTATATATTTTTGGTATTTTGGCGCCGCACTAATACGGGAATTTTCAATCATCATTCGGGGAAATTCCCTCTCGCCGGCGTTTCGAGCCGGAAAAAGTTTGACCGGATCGTTCCGTTTCGGTTGGATTTTACAATCTGAAAACATGGTCCTTTCTCACGGTTGTAAACGGCCACAGAAATGGAAAAATCCGACGAAAATTACTTTCCGAGCGCGCCCTAACAGCACGTCGAAAACCCCATCTCCCCCCGAACCGAATGTTGATTTATCGCTCGGAAAAGAAGTTTCTCCCTTTTCGAATTTACAAGTTTCTGTACAGCGCACGTAGATAATTTATTTTAAATGAAATTGCATAATTTACAGACTCTTAATGTTGTGTAGTAGCTAAAAACCAAGCTTCTGCATGAATTTTATTTAATTAAAAACTTTTTCGTACGGCTAATTAACCTGCCGATAAAACGAAACGAACGATTCGCGTCCGGCGATGGTGAGGAAAAAAACTTAGCGAAAATGAAACATTGTCTGCACCGATCCGCCTAAATATATAAGTCATTTACGGGGCGACTTTACGAGGCATAATTTCATCAAGGCGCAGGAATTACACCACATTTTCGTTAAGTTATATCGCAATAAAAGTCCAATCCTTTTGTTGGCCCTTTCTCTATTCGCTCCGTTCGGTTCGGAGCGAGAAAACGCGTCGGGGAATCATCGCGTTAATTTTGTATCACGTCGTGGATTTCTAGAAAACTCGCCGGTTCGGTCCTTCCCATGCGAAACTCCATCTTTATATTCTTTTAAACTCTTCGACGTTCCCAATAAAACCGCTTAATTATAGTTATTGGTCCCGTATTGATTTACGATTATTGGTTATTATTAACTTGTAACAGCGCAACTTTACATTGCAACGAACGTCCATAATTAGTTTATATTTTTTTTGAAACAATACGAAATTAATTTAATAACTATAACTATTGTTACGAATTTTTTAGCTTAAAGTAACCGGTATTTTTATCAACGCCCAACTCTAGTACAACACAAATTTGCTTATAATCTAATGAATGTTGTTTATTATATTAATATTCCTTA